ACTCTGCCAGAGGCCAGCCTTCTAACTCTCATATCCTCACGGGTGTTGAAAATAGGCTGTAACGGAACTGTGATCGTTCATGAAAATTGTAGCATTCCAGTCCTTCCAAATGCGCGGAGCACACTCCTTCCTGTCAGGCTCTCAGCCTTCGTAATCATTGCCCTGTTCGCTACCATCAGGCCTTGAGAATAATCGGGTTGGTGGTCGATGTTGGCGCAATAATCTGAAATTCTGCACCACAACAACGGAAGGCAGGGAGACACGCATTTGTTTGGATCGACAAAATACTTATCAGCAAGTCACCTCACTTGGAAGGGATGATGTGGACTGAATCGGTGTGTGGCGATCCGCGTGCGACATTGTCAACTATCATCACGCGTGGCTAATGAGCACTGACGTTCACTCTCCCTGCTTGTCCCTACGTTACGTGCATCCACGTCTCGTTTCTATCATAACACATGCCTTCCATGTATACCTCATATAATTGCCCCTTCTCTTCTCCCATCTCATCTGCCCCCACTTTCTTCTATATATGAGCTGCTTCCGCTTGCTCCTCACTCCAGTGGAAGTGTGGAACCCCACGAATCAAGCAAGACACCCCCACGACCACCGGCGATTGACCATGGCGGCCGCCAACGCATTTACCAGCGCTTCCATGCCCTGCGCTGCGAGCCTGAGCGGCTCTGCCAATGTGATCGCCGTGTGCCCACGCTCCGTGGCTGCCGCGAGGACGTCGCCCTCGTCGTGCTTGCGTCCTGCGCGGTGCGCCGCCGTCCGGACAGCAGCGCCCGTGGCGGCAACGTCGGAGGGTGACGAGAGGCGGTTCGAGCAGCTGGCGGTCCCGCCGGAGCTGGTGGATGAGCTCGTGGAGGAGGCGCTCGTCTGGTGCTCGCAGCACGGCCTCGTCGTCGGCGACAAGAACCACCCGGTGACGTGACCTTCCTAGCCCATTTCTTTCGTTGGAGTTTGCCCGTTGCTACGAGTGCGGACTGCAGAGCACAAGCTGCATGGTTATTAACGCAGTAATCTCCTGTACTACCATTGATACATCTGTGGCTGTTTGCGGGAGCATACAATGATTGTGAAACGAGCAATCATTTTATTTTGCATACTTGACCGGCTGGCTTAGTTTTGATAGAAGCTCGAGAAACCATTTATGCGCTTCATAGAAGTTTGGAACAAATTATTATTTTTTGAAACAGAGGCATAAGATTTGCCTCGTCCATTAAGTAACTACTCCCTCCGTCCCATAATATAATGCCCTGACCCTTTAGTCCCGGTTCAAACCAGAACCGGGACTAAAGGCCCTCCACGTGGCCGGTCCACCTTTAGTCCCGGTTGGTAACAACAACCGGTACTAAAGGAAATTTTCTGATTTTTTTTAATTTTTTTGATCTTTTTTTAATTTTTTTATTTTCAAATTTCTGAATTATTTTAACCTCTAATCTTTAATCACCCCTCATCACTGCTTAATTTAATCTCTAATCACCCCTCATCATTCTAAATCATCTAACTTCCCGGACGGTCACCCATCCTCCCACTCCCTCAGCCTGAGCACGCTTAACTTCCGGGTTCTATTCTCCCTCGTTTCGAAGTCTGCACTCGTTGTTTTCCTGACAATAGTAAGATGTCAATCCTATTAACCCTCAGGAGTTTAGCTTGAGCATGAAGTCACACATTTCACTGTTTGACTTTGAAACTATTGTTCTAAAAAACAATAATTTTTTAGTAACACTAATATTTCTTAAATAAGTAGTTTGACCATTGTTTGACCACAGTTTGACCAGATTTGACCAAAATTCAAAAAAACTGAAATAATTATTTAATAACCCTAATATTCTTGAATAATTGTTTAGTAACACTAATACTTCTTGAATAAGTAGTTTGGCCATAGTTTGACCAGATTTAATGAAAATTTTAAAAAACTGAAATTTGAGCATAACTTTTTTTCCTTTTTGAATTTAAGGATTCTACAAATTTGCAAACAGGCCGTAGGCAGTCTCCATTGGATGTAACTTTTCAAGTAGATGATTTTTCATATAAAAAACTTTTTAATCCGAGTTCGTATGCAAAAGTTATGCCCATTTTATAAATTCCAGAGAGATTTTGTAAATAAAGTCGAAATTCATATTTGTAAATTTTCCCAACAACTAGACCACATATCACATGGGAAACTTATTTTATTTTATTTTTTTGACATTTCCATCATTTTCTTTTGTTTTTTCTAAAACTGAACAGGTGGTCCACGGGGGGGAGGGGGGAGAGTTTGAAAATGGGACCTTTAGTACCGGTTCCTGCCATGAACCGGTACTAATGCCTCAAAGCCTATTAGTCCCGGTTGGTGGCACCAACCGGGACTAAAGGTCTAACCTTTAGTACCGGTTGGTGCCACCAACCGGGACTAATGGGCATCGCACCCTTTAGTCCCGGTTCGTGGCACGAACCGGGACTAAAGGGCCCAGGTGAACCGAGACTAATGCCTTAGCCGCACGAACCGGGATAAATGCACCCATTGGTCCCGGTTCTGGACTGAACCGGGACTAATGGGCTTACCCGGCCTGGACCAAAGCCCCCTTTTCTACTAGTGACTCACCCCTATCAATGCACACACGCACACCCTACTCCTATGAGCACCTCGTCCATTAAGTAATTTGTTTAGAGGTGAAGTTTGAAATGATTAGGTAGTACTACACTGAAGAGTACTTATAATTTGTTGCATTGATGGGCTTCGTTTTTTCATTTTTTGAAGAAACTAAGATGACACACCTCTGGGGAGAAAGTGAAGAACATCTAATGATTCTCCCTGCAAAAAAGGAAGAAAGAGAACTAGAGATTCAGGTTCTAATTAACTCCAACAAGCTGAAATTATGCCAGGTAAAGAAATTGTTGGTAGACCCGCACGAAAACAACTTGCCCAATATAGGAGTATTGCCATCCACGTCAATTTTTTAGATAGACGATTTGTGATCCATATGTATCTCTCAGCACAATTAAAAAAAGGCGCACAAGGCGCACGAGGAGCACCAACTTGTTGGTGTAACAACTAACAACGACATAACGACAGTGACTGCTGGTGATGGCAACAAAAGGGGAATATTTGGCCGTGCATTTTGGAACTAAACTAATGCCACACACTAAAAATAGGCAAAGAGAGGATTGATTTATGTTGGTTCTCAATCAACCTATACTACTCTAGAAGCATATGGGTGATAGAGAGTAGACGTAGGGACCATTTTCGTCCTGCCATGCAAATTAATCGTACGTCAAGGTAGCTTGATGAACTGGCTTTTTTTTCAAAAAGGAGAAAGACCTTCGGCCTCTGCATTACATGATGCACACATCTATTTTACTAAACAAAATAACAGGTTCAAAGCAAGGTCTCAAACAATCCGATGAAACGAAAAGGTTAAGATGACTAGACACATATCCTATTGTTGGACCGGCATTTAAACCGGTTGTAACTTGTAAGTATTCCCTGTGACCGTCTTCCAACGGTTGCACCCAATATCCATAAGCTCCTTGTGGTTTGCATGGCTGAGTAACGACCACACATGGATTCAAGCAGACGCCTTGAAGATAACCTGCACAAAATTTGTGGTAGTTTGTCTGTTAAAGACGACATCATTTCGACAATTTCATATGGCCCAAAGTAATGCACACACTCCTGCTCGAATATGTGCCACTGTCTTAGGACCTACCTCATTTAACCATGTCCCAAATAAATTTGATAAAGTGCTGGGAGGAGAAACATTAAAGGACGCATGAATGGTGCAGCACAATAGCTTGATGAACTGGCCTAGCTAGTGTTGTTCATCTTTGCGTGCAAAATGTTTTTGCTCTTGGAAAGAGTGTAAAATGTTCATGCCATGGACGGTCTCATGGGGATTGCCTTCGTTTTACTGTAACAGGTCAATCATTACAGATTTGCTATGTGCTTGGTGACTCCATCGGTTGTTCAGAGGATGAGGCCCCGGGAGGTTATAGCTTTGTCAAGTGTTCGGCACCTGACTCGGTGACTCGTTGTCTCCATCGGTTATTGAGTGTCAGCTAGTTCCTTTTCCGATCGAGACTGGTTTTTGTAAACTTGGGTGCATTGCACCCTTGATTGACAGTAATATATATAAAAAGAAACAAAAACAATCAGTCAGAAATTTTGTGGCTTCAAAGATGCACAAATGTTTACGTGCTTGGAGAATCTGATGGCAAAATGACATCCGGGGAGCTCTAGAAACGAAAATAGTGCTCAAAGCTTTGAGCACTTTCGAGTGTTGATGTCGTTTTTCTTGTGTGAAGCTTCTTGGATGTCATTCTCCATGAATTTTTGCAAGAACCTAAAGTATTTGAGCATCTCAGATGCAACAAATTTCAGATTTTTTTTCATTTTTACTGTTCATCAAGGGTGCAATGCACCCAGGTTTATAGCCAGAACTATTCCTTTCCGACCAGATACCTCTGGATTCTTCTGCCGATCAGGAAGCCCTCGAGTGAGGCACTCCAATCCTTGATCGACAAGATCATGAATCACCTTCCCACTTGCAGAGCATCCATGATGGTAGATGATGTCAAAGGCAGGACGCAACACTTTGGTCAACTAGGTCATGTATGCTCATTATGTTTGTATCCCCTTGATGCTTCATTTTAAGCTAATAAAAATTTACTCTTTGTCAAAAATCTGCGCCAATTAGTGTTCCTAGTCATAAATAAGAAGACCCATAAGCAGATCGACAAAAACTTGAGAGGTTTTCTTTGGATGGGCATGTGAAAGATTGACAAAAACCTGGTGCATTTGAAAGCATCGCAACACGATCATCTTTGACATCGCTCAACTCATCTTAGCTCACCTACTTCACATGTTCAAGACAAAAGTGAGGCAATTAATGGGCGGCGGTGGGTACAAAGGAGTGCCGTGGCGTTGCTTCCCATGATGATAGTCTCCAACGATTAGAGGCATCATGTTGTAATCTTTGGGTGTTGCCATTCGCCATTCTTCATGCTTGTACAAACTCATCTTTCTATCAATGCATTGAGACACAAGGTTTTTGAGTTTTTCACGAATTATTTTTTAGAATTTTGACGTAATTTGTCACGGGGTGCATGCAGAGATCAGGAAAGGCACCCGGTGTTGGTCTGCTCCATGCTCCGTTTGCTCTCTTGCCAATGTCATTCCCAAAGGTTTACTGGGAGCAGGCGCTTGAGTTGGCTCCACTTTTCAATGAGCTCGTTCACCGTGTCAGCCTCGATGGAGACTTCTTGCAGCAGACTTTGGCGAGGTTATTTTCTCAGAGAATCAAACATCAGAATTTAAAAGTGTATATGCTCTTGGATTCAAATAATTTGTGAAAATCAATATTTCTCATCCAGGACAAAAGAAGTGGATCCATTCACTAGGAGGCTTCTAGATATTCACTCGAAGATGATGGAACTGAACAAGAAAGAGGTAAGTGTGTTGCTTACACGTGAAATGTATAAGGTTACTACTAAGTGCTAACTCTATCCAACTAAATATTATTCTTAGGTTAACTCCAGCAATGAGATTTTTATCAAAAACTCACAATGATGTGGTTTTGGATACATATTTCAGGACATTCAGTTGGGTCTAACCAGGTCAGACTACATGGTAGATGGGGCAACGGACAAGCTTCTTCAAGTGGAGCTCAACACGATCTCCACATCCTCCAATGGTCTTGCTTGTGGTGTATCTGAGCTCCACAGGTCAGATTCCATATACTTCCTCGTTCCTAAATATAAGTCTTTTTAGAGATACCAATATAAACTACATACGAAACAAAATGAGTGAATTTATACTCTAAAATATGTCTATATACATCCGTATGTAATCCGTATTGAAATCTCTAAAAAGACTTATATTTAGGAACGGAGGGAGTATATCGGAGTTTATTTATTGTCTCTGCGCAAATTCTCACATATGTTGTGGAAGTATATTTGGATATTTCTATTGAACCATTTGATTTTTTGGAAATGGAGGAGGACCCCCGGTCTCTGCATCTGGACGATGCATGCAGCCACCTTATTAATTATTCACACAAGACCTTACAAAGTCATACAACAGTAAGACTGAAGCAACCGTCTAGGCAACAAAAGTGTCGCTACTCCTATCCAAGAGATGAAGGGATGCTGATAGTCTGGCCTAGTATCAAATAGACCTTGCAGCCAAACCTAACATCTAAGACCTGAGGTCCCATCCAGGACGCCTGCCGGGTATGGGTCACCTACTAGTCCGGCGCACTCCTCAACCAGGACGCCTGCCGGGTCTGAGGCCGCCGCAGCCACCTGCCACCAATCCATCTTCAGAGTTGTACTGCTGCATCTACATTGCTCGGTCTAGCTGCCGTCGACGCCACCACGACGCCAAACCGCGTCACCCTCCTGCGCGAGTCCATCTCCGCGCATCAGACGCAGAGTCACCACAGCGCCATGCCGCCGAGACCCGCCGCCATCAATGAGTGAGATGCCGCACCGCTCCACCAAAGAGTTCGTCCTCTAATCCTGCATCCAGCTGTTGCTCAAAAAACGATGCCCCCATGAGGGAAAACGACACCCCAAAAGCACCGCCATCGTCCGATCCGGAAACTTCGGATCAAGGTTTTTACCCAGAGCAGCGCAGGCAAGTCGACAGAAGCTGCAGAGGCGATGTCTTCAACAAGATAACGACGCAAAAACGCCGCCATCGCCGCCATGACCCGAGTCATAGCACGGTTTTCACCGGCAGCCCCGTCTCCACACTGTACGCCGGGATTGGATGCGAGAATCCACAACCATCTAGCCGACCACCTCCGGCGAAGAAGATGGCCACCACCTCCACGCCAAGGGCCGGAGCCCCTGACGTCCCCGTGTCGCGTGCCTAGTCCAGAGGCCGCTTGCCGCGCCGGAACAAAGGATGCGCACGACGGCTCGAGGAACCACCATCCAGATACGAATGGGATCCAGATCGGACACCCTAACCGCCGACGTGATCTCTTTGTCGCCGCCACCAGCACGACAACCCTGGTCGCCACCGGCCTGCGCCATCGCCCTTGGATCGGCCGGAGTGGGTCGCCGCCACCCAGATCCGATCGCCAGCCGAGGAAGATTGCCGCCGCCGCCGTTGCGGCCTGCGGGCTTAGCCTGCGATGCCCTCGGCGGCGGCGGCGGGAGGAGAGGGAGGCTCGGCGCGGAGGAGAGGGGGGCAGGCGGGGAGGCCCCGGTGCGGCGCGGCGCCGCCGCACGGGTGGGGGGGGGGGGAGGTCACCCCGTGAATACCTCTTGCCTTTTTAAAATGGGGAGCTGATTGAACCATTTGATGACAATACCAATCTGAATGCAACGTGCAGAAATCTGATCAGACACCATGAGAGGGAACTTGGTTTGGATCCAGCTAGTGTTGTTGGAAACACTGCGATAACCCAGCACGCCGAAGCATTAGCCACTGCATGGGCCGAGTACAACAACCAAAGGTTACGTGTTTAATTTGATGCAGACATGTACCTTCTTAAGACTTCTATACTAACTAAAAGTTTTCCTCATTCAGCGCAGTAGTTCTGGTCGTTGTTCAAGCAGAAGAAAGGTACATGTATGACCAGTACTGGATCACGGTCGCGCTGAGAGAAATATATCCTTCAGTCTATGCTAATGCCATCTTGTAGCTTTATACTAAATGCCACTAATACAAAATGCAAAGGAATCTCGTTCGATTTCAAAAAAGGTCACAACATGCATATGTATAATTTTTTTCCTTAACTTCTGTTTTCACGTATGGGGTCACGACTATTCGCAAGACAATGGCAGAAATAGAAGCGGAGGGGGATCTTCGTCCTGATGGGACGCTCGTGATGTAAGGTTTCTCTCTACAAGAATGTTACTTGCGATGTTGCCATGCATGATTTGAGCAACATATAACTCTGTTTGTTTTGTCATTCAGAAATGGACGCCCAGTTGCAGTAGTTTACTTCAGGGCAGGCTACTCACCGGCTGATTACCCATCAGAAGCTGTATGTCTATCTTTCGTTTTACTATGATTAAACTTGATATACGGTTAATCTTTTGATGTGTTGAATGGTTCATTCTTTTGATGGGATATAAACTTTGAACATAGATGTGCAAGCACAAACATAAAACTTCAGCATTGATTTTGTCTAGTACTGTTTACCGTAGTTCAACAGAATTACTGAAGTAGCTGCTATTCAAACAACCGCTGCATTTTTTCTTGAAGGAATGGAGAGCAAGACTCTTGATCGAGCGTTCTTCTTCTATTAAGTGCCCATCAATAGCACACCATCTTGTCGGTACAAAGAAGATTCAGCAAGAACTGGCAAAGGAAAAAGTGCTTGAAAGGTAATCCCATTTCATTATTGTTGCATAGTGACACATGACTCGCTAAAACTTAATACCAAACCACATAATAAAAATGTAACTATCAGGTTTACTGTAATAATAATATATTGTTAAAAATGTAATTATATGAAGAAAAAAACTAATATAATGATATGATTTCTTTGTAAATAGTCTATATAGCATTCAGTCCATTCATGGTCAAACTTCAGAAGTTCAGATAGTTTGACTACACAGATAATTGGAAGTCAAGTAAAAAAGAACATAAAACAAAATATCTAATGGTACTTGCTATTTATTTTTATCAATGGTTCCTTCTACACATGATTGCTATTCTGACCCTGCATTTCATACTAGGTTTCTTGACAACAAATCCGACATCGAAAATGTACGAAAATGCTTCGCAGGATTGTGGAGTTTGGAGACTGACAATATAGTCAATTCCGCTATTGAATCACCGGAGTTGTTTGTTCTCAAACCACAAAGGGAGGGTGGAGGTATTACCTCAATCTCACTACGCAGCCAAAATGTTGGACACTAATGATCGATGAGTAAACCTGATATTCCATTCAGGGAACAACATTTACGGTGATAATCTGCGTGAAACGTTGATTCGCCTTCGGAAGGATGGAAGCAATGAAATTGCAGCATACATCTTAATGCAGAGGATATTCCCACCAACATCCCCCAGCTATCTTGTCCGCGAGGGAACTTTTGTTAGGGATAATGTGGTTTCTGAGTTTGGAATATTTGGAGCCTACCTGAGGTAATACATTATCAGCCATTGTAATATTTGACATATTTAACACTTCATAAATTTTTTTATTTCATGGATATAGGAACAAAGACAAGGTCATTATAAATGATCAGTGCGGTTATTTGTTGAGGACGAAAGCAGCTTCACTAAATGAAGGTGGGGTGGTCGCTGGATATGCGTTTTTGAATAGCATATTTCTGACATGACAAGGTAAATACATTACATACTTATGTTTCATTTATCATATATGAAAACATGTCGAATATAGGTAGTTTGAACAGGACCAGAGGAATTTAAAAAAGGTAGAGCCTACTCATGTGAGCTATCAGAAAGGCGAAGTGGGGACGTTCCTGTTTCATTATATTGGTTCCACATCTGTAAGCTCCTGAATAAGGAGTGGGATGGTATAGAGGACATGTTTAAGAAAAATATTCCAGTCAACTTCGACAGTGAAAGGGATGTCGATGTTCATGTTGTCATTCTCCAAGGTACATAAGGAAGGTCGCAAAAGACTGGAATATTACAAAACCAGATTCTTCTGTTAATCTGACAATCATAAGCTGGCGCAAATAACGTACAGCTAACTATTTAAAACAGTACTTTCCGACCTAAGACACAGGTGGTCTCAGGGTGGAGATTCGGAGATAAAATAAATAAATGTTTGCTCACCAAATGTTCAAACTATTAAATGATGGGTATGGACATATATATAGTAAGAGCTGTTGCGAATTAAATCACTAATTCCAAAACGCTGTTACAAGTGATAGTGAAACCTACAAATTCTCCATTCTGGAAAGGTCTCGTGTGAGTTAAAGTGGAATTCTTTCAAAGGGTTCCTTCCAAGTTGGTAATGGTAACAATGATAGGTTTGGCGAGGATTTTTGGCTCAGAGATACGCCTCTTAGTATATGTACGCTGATTTGACAAATGACAATATTTTATTGGGAAAAAAGGAAGGTAAAAGTCCCCCTTAAGATCAGGATTTTGGATTGGTATATACTAGCACATATGCCCGTGCGTTGCAACGGGAGATAAATATTATGTATTTAAAGTCAGTGCAATTATATGTGCAAGCAAAATCTTATGTGCACACGAAAAAAAGAACGTTTAGCTTCTCGGTTTCGCCGCGTGTGAAAGAATCAATCCGCTATTTTTCCATTCATTAATCGAGAGCATTTAGGAGTTTTGTTACGTCACCGTACGTCACATAAGGCACATGAGTTATTCAATCTACTTTTCCTTTCAATCCTTTCGATCGAGGGGATTTTAAGGTATGAATTTTCTAAATATTCTAGGAGACATGAACAATTTTTTAAATACGGAACAGTTTTTTTAGTTATGTACACTTTAAAAAAAACATGAACAAAATAAGAAAAGGAACATCTTTTAAAATTCAAAATCATTTTATGAAAATACCAAATTCTTTATAAAAACATTAACATTATTTGACTTTGTGAACATTTTTTTAAAACGGGAACATGCGTTGAAAATTCATAAGATTTTTAGAAAATGTGTATCTTTATACAAAGCATTATTTTTAATTGTGCAAATTTCACTAAAAAAGAATATTTTTAGAATTTGGAGCATTTTTTAAATGCCATTTTCATTTAACACATCTCGAATAATTTTTAAAAACAATAATTGTTTTTTTCTAAACGGGAATTGTTTTTGCATGTTCCGAACATTTTTCAAAATAGCAACAAAATTTCGGAATTCTTAACATTTTCAAAAAATTGTTTTTCTTAAGTCTGAATTTTGTTGAGAGTTTTTAATTTAAGAAATAAATACTAAAAGAAAAATAAACGTGGAAGGGAAGAAAGAGATAGGGAAAGGAGAATAAAATAGAAGTAAAACATTATTTGAATTTTTGATTTTTTTTAAATTGGAACATGTGTTTCATAAGATTTTTAGAAAATGTGTATCTTTTCTAAACGAAGATCATTTTTAGTTGTGACAATTTAAATAAATCAATAATATTTTCTTAATTTGATGCATTTTTTGAAATGCCAGTTTCTTTTTAGACATCTCGAACAATTTTGAAAAGTATGTTTTTTTTGCAAAAATCTGAAACTTTTTGCATGTTCTGAATATTTTTTAAAATAGCAAGAAAATTTTGGAATTCTGAACATTTTCAGAAAATTGTTTTTTAATTCTGAACGTATTTTGAGAATTTTTAAATTACGAAATAAATGATAAAATAAAAATAAAATTGGAAGGGAAAAACAAGATAGAAAATAAAAATAATAAAAGTAAAACACAGAAAGAAAGAAAAATGGGCTATCCCAATATTCGTTGTCCTGTGCAGAACTCGACTATTTATCGCCGAGTGCGGGAAATAGTATTTTATCAGCTGCATGGCCAGACAAATCAGTGGGCTGGCTTCGCTGGGCCAGAGTGCGCGGCCCATGTACGGAAATTCTTTTTTAGCAAACAAAGGCATAAAAAATTAGTACCACCTCGGATAGCAAAAAAAGTTCTTTTCGGCGGTGAACGGATGAAAAAATTGGCGAAACGCACCTTGCTTTATTAGTAGGTATAGATTTGTACAATCATGTTTTTTGCGGGGCAATCATGTTGGCTAAGGATAACTTAGCAATATATATCTGGAATTGTAGTAAAAAGTGATGTTTTCGTGACGAGGATGAAACAATCGAGCACTTCTTCCTATTGTGCCCATTCATGCGCTTGTTATTGTAGACGGTCCATGTCTTGTTTAATATTCCAGCGCCTACTAGTATCTCTAATATGTTAGGGAATTAGTTGTGTGGGGTGGATGAGAAACTTAAGGCTGAAATCCAAGTGATATTATTAGCCTTATGTTTAACAATGACAAAGTTTCCATTTCTTTTGCAGGCCGGTTATCCACGGGCTACGCACCAGATCCATATGTAGTCCTTACATCAGCATGTGGAGGCTCGGGGCTTCTAGACTTTGGATGCCAGCAATTGGAGATGGCCGTACGGGCTATATGGTAGCATAGAACTAGGTTTAGTAATGCATGAGAGTCTTATGTACAAATGTATTGTTCTTGGTTGTGTCCTTTTTATCTATTTATGTAATGCCCTAAAATTGTATAATAAATGGCTATGCGCATCAATCGATGTTGATGCCCGGTGTAACACACCTCCTTTTCTAAAAATAACCAAAAGGCAAATAATCGGGCATAATCTTTAGGAGGGGGGAATATTGACATGTATGGACCAAATAGTAAGTGAACAACTCTGCTTTGGATATTGGGAAGACGATGTGAGAGGGCATCACCACATTGGTTTGTCTCTCTACTTTTATTGACCTAGGGGTGTGTGGATGGGAATGACTAAAGATGTGGGGTAATTGTGAGTGTCGCCAACGAAGACGTGGAGGAAGCTCGACCTTCCTCGTCAGCTGCCATCTCTGGCCTTTTAGTGGTAACACTAGGTGGATTCATTGCCCACTTAGAGGTGCCGAGCAGATGCTTTAAGCCTAAACATGGCAAGGTCTTCATGCCAGGATAGCTCGATGGTCACTCTCCCGGTGAGGTGGTGTCTCGGGGATTTATTCCCTTCTCTCCTATGCAAAAGACTCTTGTGCAATAGATTTGTAGGCTAAGCCAGTGGCGGAGCCAGGATTGGAGCAAGCCCCGGGCCAAAAAAAAAGATTTTTGCCCAAAGTTAAAAACTTGACGTTTACAAGGCTTTTAGCTACCACAAAAGATACCCAGACAAAATATGGCTCAATTGCATGAAAAATTAAGAATTTTAGCTCAATGCTTAACGATACAACAAAATAGGTAAAAACATGTGAAGAACTACAAAGAATAGTATGTGATAAAAAATAGTATCAAATCAATGGTTTGCTTCATCAGTGCCTCACATAACCTCATCATCGGTGGAAGAAGGGCCAACACCTTCATGACATTAAAAGCAAAATTTCATAAGAGAAGGCGTAAACATCAAGTGAAACAATTATGATTGATATAAATCTAAAAACTCACCCCCTCAGTTGCTTGATCCCCTCCATCTGAAAAGATAAGTGTAGACACACTCGTTCCGGAGGCCGGTGAAAAAAATCTTTTCATCTTCTCTTTCTACAATATGAAATGAAATGGGCAATTAGATAAATATGAGTTCAATAATACACTAGATATATGACTTGATACTCACATTATTGCAATTAAATTTTACTTTGGAGTGATACACACTAAGACAGATTTCACACCGACATTGTAGAACATGATACAAGTGGAAGCATGAGGGGAAACCGGGAAAGCATCAAAAAAATATCAAGGTAGGTATGGCAGTCAAGAAGCTAGGCGCGCCAGGCGATTGGGCGAACAGCGCAGAGCCACACAGGAGGGCGGTACGGCGGTGGCCGAGACGCCGGTGGACGGCGGCGTCGGCGCAAGTGCTGGAGTTTGGACTTTGCAGATTGATCTTGCGTGCGTCGCATGCGAATTAGGTCGGCGGCGGCTACGCGGTCGCTGGCGTCTCCTGACAGATTCGTGATGGGTTTTTTCTTTCTTTGAGAAATCGACAGATTCGTGTTGTGCGTGCGTCCGTCAGTTTCCTATTTTCCTGTCACATGCGTGCGCGAGTGGGAGGTCTCCTCGTGCGTGCGTCCCTTGGCATGCGGTGAGACAACCCATGACGCTCTGGCCCTTCATTTTACTGGGCTATACCCCGGACCTGCAGAATATCATACATATATAACAGCCTAGCAGAAATTCCATGCCCCGGGCCTGGGCCCTGGATGCCCGGGGCCCAGCTCCGCCCCTGGGCTAAGCCAGGAGGATACTAACCTGGTGACCCTACCTCAATAGACAGTGGTGGCAAAAACGACAAACTTGTGCTTTAATATAGGGTTTCCACTTGCTCGGGGGCAGCCAAGCCACCTGTTGTTTGGGTAACTACGCCTCAACGAGCCCCAAAACAGAGTAAGGCATTTTGGAGCTCGGCCTCCATGGAGGCTGGATTTTTTGAAAAATTCAAAATTTGCACTTTTCAGTTTCAAAAAAATCTGAAAAAATCATACAATTAAACAAGGATGTTATGTGTATGTATGTAAAATTTGAGGATGAAATACCCTAAAATGCGATCTCTGCAAAAAAGACAAATTCATGGACTTTGAGGATGAATTGTGCATCTACTAAAAAGCCTCAGATTTGTTCTTTTTTGTGTAGCACTCATTTTAAGGTGTTTCGTCCTGAAAATTTACACACATATGCTTT